CCCCCCCTCCTTCCCTCCCCACCAGCACCGGAGCCCACGCTGAGACTCCTCTTCCCCTGACATCAGCAATTATGCTGAGGGCCATCAGGCTCTCAGCGAGGCTATTTTTAGCGACCCCGTGTCTGTCACTGAGACATATTTTCCTGCGTGGAAATGTCCCTCCCTCCGCTGGCCCCTGCTGACCGCACCTCTCCCTGCCCCCGCTACCTGAGACCCGGCCTGGAGGGACATCACCTGCGTTTTGTGCAGCTGTGGTCTCTGAATTAAGAGGGCGCTGTTGGTTTATGCTGGGTTCTGGCGTCATACTTCTTTATTGACTCATGTGCTGTTTCCCCGCAAAGCGCCGTAGGGAAAAGGCGCACGCGCCAGAGGGGGTGGGTGAGGCACAGGCAGAGCGCGGCCCCTGAAGCAGCTCCAGGCAAGAGCTGGCCAGTTCTCCGCGACCCACTTCCCGCCCAGGAGCCTGTCTGTGATGAAGTCGGGGGCTTGGGAAAGGCGGAGTGAGCCCCTAGGATTCCCAGTCATCCTCGTCCTCCTCTCCCGGCGCTGGCTGCAGGGGAGGCAGGGGCGGGATGGAGTCCGACATTCGGGCAAAGGCCCCTCCCGGCCCCTCGCTGGCCCCCGGCCCGGGTCCTTTCCCGGAGATACCTGGGAGGGCAAAGGTGGAAGGTGAGGGGGGCTGGTTTGGGGCACCAGTCCACCCGGGCTCTAGAGACTTGAAACAGTGAGAGAAAAGGGTGTGGACGACCTCAGCCAGGGAGGCAGCCGGCGTCCTGCTTCCTACCTTTGCGCCTCATGGCCAGCTTGTTGAAGAGATCTGACATCAGGTCTCCACCTTGGCTGGTGGCTCTCACTGCAACAGAAAAGCCATGGGGAGAAGATGAAGGGGCCAGGGGTGGACCACCTCCAGCCTGCCTAACACTCTGAGGGCTCCATCAGTGTCCTCGGTGCTGTCAACGCACCGGGCGCCTCCGCGGCCACGAGGCTGCCATGGCTCACGCCTGGCCCCTCCGTGGCCACGTGTCACCACAGCTCTTGGAGCTCTGGTCAGTGCTCATAAGAACACGGGTAACCTCTGAGTAACAACAGTCACAGCTACACACAGCCTTGTGAGACGAGGGCACAGACAAGCAGCCTCGCTGGACAGATGAGGAATCTGGCCCAGAGAAATAAGGCCACTTGCTTGGGGTCACAGTGCAAAGCTCAGAAGCAGAGCTGGGACTCAAAACTCAGGACTGGACTCCCAGGGCATTGCTGCTTTAGGCCCAGGTGTGGTATATATGTCAGCCTTGGGGATTCACAGCTGACGTAATCCAGAGTCTCAGAGGCCTAGAAAAGCAGGACTTGGCCAGGTCTCCGTCCCTAGAAACATCCCAGGTCCCTGCCCGTTTCCTGGACAACTGGCAGAGGCTGAGAAGGCTCTTCCAGTTTGAGCGGCCGAGGCTCCGTCCCCTACGGGCGTAGAGGGGCGAGCTGCACCGAGCAGGCTCCGGGAGTAGGAAGGAGCCTGTCCCGGGCCGGGTCCGGCCGCACCTTGTTGCTTCTGCTCCTTCCGCTGCTTCTTCTCCAGCTTGCGCTCCTTGACGCTGCGCAGCTTGGCCTTGCCAACGCCCCCGGCCTGGCGGATGGACTCCAGCAGAGTGGCGCGGCCACCGGAGGGCTCAACCACTTCCTTGGGCGCTCCCTGGACTGGGGTGGGAAGGGTGCAAGGAAGAGAGGCTGCTCAGGCAGGGCCTGGCCGTGCGGCCCAGAGGCGGCCCTGGGCAGTGTCTGAGGAAGGGCTCTTCCTCGGCGAGGTGGCAGTGGTGAGGCAGCGCCTCGGGAGACTAGGGGCCTGGACGCTGCCTGCATCTGCCCGGGCTTGGCCGGTCCCTCTCCAGCCCCACCTGCTTTAGGTGCCACGCTGCACAGGTGGACCCCTGGGAATCACCAGTGTGTTGAGTGTCTGAACTTAACACAGGAGCCAACAGGGGATTTCTGTGCCACTTCTGGGTGTTGGAGATGGACTGGGAGATACAGGAGTAAAACCGAAGTCCTACAACTTAAGGGCCACGTGGATACTTGGTTGCTGTAGTTTTCCATGTCTATTAGTTGCCCCCTTTCCCCCGTTGGTTTAAGGGGGAATGGGGGGCCCACGGCTCCCCCTGTCCGGGCTCCACAGACATGGTTTGAAACTGCTGTTATGAACCCAGTAGAACAAGATTTTGAAATTAGAACTACTCTGAAAATCTAGCATTTATGACCACTTAACTAAGCTACAGAAAATCCTTCAGGGATCCAGAAATGAGGGGCACCCTCAGAGAAAGCAGACCCCCCTCCCCGCCCCGCGTGCCCTATGCGGCTGCTACCTGAAGGAGATGCGCCACCGCTGTCTTCCTCCCTGGCTGGCTGTCCCAGCGGGGCCACGGTCTGGGCTGGGGGCGGAGGTGGGAGAGCGCTGACCAGCAGGGCCGGAGCTGGTGGTGGTGGTGGCGGCGGCGGCGGCGGTGGGGGTACCGCCAGCACCCCATCTTCTAGGTGGGAAAAGCGTGAGAAGGTGCCTGCTCAAGACAGTGGCCAAGCAGGGGTGCTCCCGCCCAAGTCCATTCCCAGCTCTCGGCTCACCGGGCTTGAAAGGCCCAGCCACCTCCGTGTGGAAGGCAGGCAGCTCTGGAATGGGGCCAGGGGCCGACGGGGCAATGCCGGGGCCCAGGTCCGCACTGTACGTGAGGTCGTCGGCCACGCCCGGCAGGTCGGGCAGGTAGGACGGCACGTCGATCTCGGGCACTTGGCCCAGGTCGGGCACGTAGAAGTAGGTCTCCGGGACCTGCGGGACGCGGGGGGTGGGGGACGTGGCGGCCTCGCACGCCCGCCACAGCTGGCCGGGGGGCGGGGCTCAGCGGACCCCTGGCCGAGACGACACAGCAGGACCACGTCCCTCCCCCACCCGAGCACCGCCCCTGTCCACCTGCTGCTCCAGCTGCTCTCTCTTGCTGATGGACAGCGGGGCATCGAACAGCTTCTCCTCCGTCTCCGCGCCCAGCGTCACGTGGGTCTTTGTTACGGCACCAGCCAGGGGGTCCAGGAAGACATACTTTTTGTACCTACAGAGGAGGGGTGGAGGTCAGGAGGTCAGGCGATCCGGCATCTGTTCTAGGCCCGTGGTCTGGACCACCTTTCCTACCTCATCGGGGCCACCATTAGTTGGTACCACGGCCTCCCAGGCCTTACCAGGCAAAACCAACCGGTCAGGAGCCTCCTGGCTCCCGCGTTGCAGACTTCTGCGGCACCCAAGTCTGGTGCCCCTGGCCTCCCACTGAGCCAGGCCAACCCCCCCGTCCCCCCCCGCCCCGCCCTTACAGGTTCTCCGTGGTGTTGAAGAGCAGCAAGGAGCTGACAGAGCTGATGTTGCTGGGGAGACCCCCCAGCCCCTCCTCGGCCTCGTCTTCGGGCTCCGGCTTGGTGCTCACGCACACGGGGAAGTATTTCAGCTTCTCCTGCGGTGGGGTGACGGGAAATGACCGAGGGACGGCGGGTTTCAACACCAGGCCAGACTGACCTCCCCCGCTGCAGTCAGAGTCCTCTTGGGGGACAGAACCCTGGGATGGGCCTCAGTTCCTCCCCAGTGCCCAGGTCACCGCCGTCAGACCTGTAGGGCTAGCTCGTCCAGGGGACGGTGCTTGCTCTGGACCCTGTGGCGGGCACGCCTCTGCACGCCAGGGTCCTGGGCCCCCGTGAAGATGGAGCTGTACTCCTGCAGGCGCTCCGGGGCAGGGTACTTGGCACTGGAGAACACCTGTGTACACGGAGAGTCTGAGCACTTCCTCAGGGGACCTGAGAAGCTCCAGACAGCCTAGGTTTGGGTCGGGGGGAGGCATCCTGGGCAGGAGGAAAGCTTGCGGTGTGGCTGAAGCAGGGGGCTGGCAGCCTCAGAGGCATAGGGAGAGGGGAGGGAAGGGGAGTTCTGGGACTGCCGACCAGCCAGAGGGACAGGGCCACGCACGCTACCTTGATGGCTTTCTTGCTGCCCTTGATCTTCTCAATCTTGGCCTGGGCCAAGGAGACCCTCTCCCCAATGGCCTGCAGCTGGCTCCGGCTGAGCTCTACTCGCTGGGAGATCCTGCCACCGGAAAAAAAAAGTCACAGGGGCTGAAGGCTGCTCCCCAAGCCCCTGCAGCCTCCTGCACCCCTTCTGCTTTTAACGGCAAACCTGCGAAGCCAGGGGCTCGGGTAAGGGCTCTTGCCTAAATTTGTGTTTGTGTTTGCGTGTGTTTGTCTTGGCAGTGCCCCAAAACAAGGCATGCGGGATCTTAGTTCCCCGACCAGGGATCGAACCCGCATCCCCTGCAGTGGGAGCACGGAGTCCTAACCACTGGACCACCATGGAGGTCCTCGGGTAAGGGATCTTAAAACACAGCAATACCTGCTGTCAGACCCTATCTTAGAACTGCCAAGGTGACCTGTACCGGGACCATCCAACCTGAAGCGTCTAGGAACAGACTGTACTCAGTTCCTTGGAGCTCTGGGTAGGGATGGGCAATCACCTTGGCCCCAAGTTGGCACCTGTACGTGCCACCTGAAGGGACGTGGTTCCTGCCTGCCGGGGTTCTCAGCCTCAGGCCCAGGTGAGCAGAGGCAGAATCGTCATGACTTACGTGGAGGAAACCAGAGCTCAGCAGGGCTGAGTGACAGGCAAGGCTGGGCCTGAATTCAAGTCCGGGAGCTGTCCACAAGGAACTGCCCGGCACATAAGAGGCAGCTTTTGGTAAATCCAAGTCCCCACCGTGGTTCTCATGGTTGTGGTCGGGCTGCCTAGGGGCTGCCACTGCCCCCCTCCCCGGATTAAGGCGCCCTGCTACACTCCCTGAACATGCCACACACCGCCTTGGCACGTGGCCTCTGCCGTCTCCTCGGATACCCACATGGCTGGTCCCTCACTTCACTGAGCCCCTCGCTGAAGCCTCCCCGACCACGGAACCTAAAGCTGCACCTGTCACTTTCCAACCCCCAGCCGGTTCTTCCGTTACACAGAGCCACCTGTCACCACACGTCTCCTGTGCACTCCTAGGCTAAGGGCTTTGTTCCCCACTGTGTTCCCAGAGCCTGGAACAGCGCCTGGCACCTGCAGGGGTCCCTCTGCAGTTACTGAATGGCTAACACCGTGTGCCCCAAAGATAAACGCACACGAGCCTCACTTGTGTTATTCAGCAACACGAGGTACTTCTCACTGCACGGGGACTCCGGCTCCCCTGCCAGGGCGTCCTGCGCCTGAGCGCTCCCCTACCTCCACGGACACCTGCCCGTGGCCACCGTGTTCCACAACCACAGCGGTGGTCACATCTCCACATTCACCGGGCAGGAGTGAGCACACAGCGAGGCACGAGAGACGAGGCGGAGTTGCAAGCTCAACTCCTGGGGAACGGCCAGAGGACAAAGTGAGTGGATGGCCGAGGAGCGCCGCGGTCCCTGGGGTCAGAGACCACGCGGCCAGGGAACTCTAGGATTTCTTTAACGGGTTGAAGTGAACAGTCAAGACTCTGGCCCAACCTTCTTAAACCACCCCCACCAACTTTAGAATGTTTTAGCCCCCAGAGAACACACCTGATCGGCCAGCTTCACGACCCAGGGGTCTCCACCCCTGATGAAATCTCCTTGGTTACTCCTGGCCCCTCGTGTGCAAGGGCTCGGGGATGCAGGGGGCTGGCCTACGAGCAGGGACCCAAACCAGCTTAGTTTTCCTTGACAGGCTGGTCTGAGTGGGGCAGCAAGGCAGACAGAACAAGAGGCACGGTTTCCTTCCGGGAGAGATGCAGAACCAGCAACCTGTCCGAGCCCCAGCTTTCCGGCAGGGAGACCGGTCTCCCTGCTTGCACACAGGCCAGTTCCTGTGGCTCCAGGCTCAGCCCTGCGCTGCCCGGGGCTGAAGCAACCTCACAGTTATGCAACTGCTCCACTCAAAGGTGCCATGGAGGGTGGGAGCGACGTCGGAACTGGAGCCAGACACAGCCAGCTCTGCCTGGGTCTTCCATCTGATTTCTCCAAGTTACAAACATCAAGCTTAACAATGAATCCTGGCAAATTTCCGGAATGGGTTATTAAACAGAGGGTCGTAAGCAATTTGGAATGGAAGGGGCGGATCCCCGGGGCCAGCACCGTTCTAAATTCATAGCATTTCTTTTTCGACAAGGTTATTAGACCGGCGTATCAGGGGAAAACCTTAACACACAGTGCAGCTTGAGTCAGCAAGGATTCTGACAGCTTCTCACAAAATCCTGTGGACAAGATGGAGCTATGGGGGCTGGAGGAGGGCACATTAGGAAAACTCAGAGCCGGAAAACAGCGCCCCAAAGGCACGGCTGAAGAACGGACCGGCCTCAGCCTTGCACGAAGGTCTCTGGCAGGGCGCCGCACACTCATGCGACGCTCGATTAGTAAGCTGGGGGTATCAAATGGGGAGGCCCCAAAATGGTCTGCACGACGGAATCAAGACTCACGGGATCTTGAAAGGCCCAGGAGGCCAGAAAAGATGAAACTGATAAGGAGTGAATGTGAAGCTCAGCATTCAGGTTTAAAAAGTCAAGGGTACAAACACAGAGGATGGAGGTTTAGCAGGAGGTTTCGGTTACCTATGAGCTAAAAGCACGTTAAGCAGCTTGGAAAGGAAGTGAGATCTCAGGGCACACAGCTCCTGAGATCTTTCCCACCTTCTTTCAATAAACAGGGAACGTCCACTCTCCTGGAGGCACTACAGAGAAAACAGAGCTCATCTACGCCAGGCGCCCACCTCGTCCACAGCCGTGTCCCCTTCAAACTGGTTCCACATGTTAAGAGGACTCTGAAGTCCCTTCTAGACCACAGGGTGTGTCTGATTCACAGCTGCATCTCTAGCACCTGGGACAATGCCTGACATGTAACATACTGGCTGAATACAAAATGACAAGCTAACGAACAACCAGAGGAGGGTGATGAGGCGGGTGATGGTGGGAAGCTCACGTCACACAAGATAACTGAAGGATGTTCTGGCTGAAGATGAGATGACTTCGAGAATATGAAAATCCCCTTCAGATACATCAGAAAGATCACAAGTGCTGTCAGGTGGAAAAGCGATTAGACTTTCTGTCACCCCAGAGAGTGAGCTGCATTACAGCCGGTGGGAGGAGTTACATGGAAACAGACCTCTCAGTTCTGCATAAGGAGAACTTTCTTGTAAACAGCTGCATGGCTTTGCAAAGCAATCAGATTCCAGCTGGATGCCCACCTGTCAGGGATGTTCCAGGGGAGATTCCTGTGTGGGACAGGGGGAAGGGAAGGTGGGATTTCCAGGGTTCTTTTCTTATCCAAGAGCCTAGGATGGCTAAGTAACGCCTTGCTTGTTGACAAAGCCCCCAGGCAGCCCAATCTCAGGCCAAGGGTGAGAAGGAGGTTTCAATTTGTGTGTCATCTCTACCGACTGGCAGCGACAACAGCCTGGAAGGCAGTGTTAGGATGGCCCCTGCTGGGCCGCATGGGGCCTGGGACCAAGAGCCAGGACTGATCAGCAACACCCACCGCGAGCGGGGGCTGGTGGCAAGAGGGCAACTTGTTTGCCGCTCCTTATCTAGAGCCCCTGGCTCGGTGGCTGGCTTCAGGCAGGTCAGTTTCCAGGCTCATCACTGGAGCCACGTCCCTATAGCATGTCACCAGGACACAAAGGAACCGGCTCAGTCAGTCTGCTGAGACCCTGGGACAGAGATGCATCAGATAACACTTATCTGCTCTCAAGGAGATAAACAACTACACTGTCCCGAAGGAGGCCGGGGACAGCAGCATGAGGCCTTCAGCCAGTCACTTAACTGATCTGTGCCTCACCCTCTTCAGCTGAAAAACAGGGACTGTAACTTCTAGTCGTGGAATTGCTGTAAAGGTCAAAGCGAGAGACTGGATGTGTCTCAAGAGCTGTACAAGCCGACACGTCCCAAGAACTTGGTCAACATTTACCTTTACCACACACAGACTAGGAGGGGTGAGGGGCTCCAGGCAGTGCTGAGCAGACACGGAGAAAAAAGTTCCAGATGAGGAAACAGCACTCTGCAAGGGAGCACCACAGAGAGTGGAGCGCAGAGGGCTCCTCTGGCTGGGGCCTGGGGTGTGAGGTGGTCAAGGTCAATGACACACCTAGGGACCCAGGACAGTGCCTGGGCCCCGTGTCTCTACCACCTCCAAAGCTGACCCCCATGGCCGGCTGCGAGGGTTTCCTAGCCCCTGCAGGGCTGCCACACCCTCCAATCATCACACCAGTCAGCTGCTGTGACAGGGCCACTCCCCTGGCCCTAACTGCTGCTTCTCCCCTCGCCAGCCCTACCCCCGCACCCCCCAGCCGGTCCCCTGAACAGCTCTTGCTTTCCCCTTTATCTTCTCCACTCACTGGGGTAATTAAGAATGATCGGCTAATTATGCAGGCAGCTGACTGAGGCCTCCTAACCTTGGAAGGCACCAGGTGCGGATCAGCAGGGAGAAGGGGGGGTAGCGGGGAGAACAGAGGGGGGCCGAGGAAGGGAAGGAGCCTTGCAGAGGCCAAGTGGCCGGGCTGGGGCCGCCAGGGAGGGCAAGCAGACAGCAGCCGCCATCCACACACAGTCCCATTCTGCCCTGCCCCCACTGCTGCCCCTCTGCCCTCATGGAGGTCATGTGCAGCAGGGGACATCTCTGGGCGGGTACCCTGGGGCTGGCTTCTCCCAGGTGATGATGAGCAGGTGAGGGCAGGTCTGCTACGCAGGAGGGCAAACCAGGGAGGGGCTGCTCCAGCGGGAGGAAGGAGCCAGCTGGGGACGCTGACCTTCCACGCGCTCACCTGCCTGGGGGCACAGGCTCCGGTGGGGCTGAGGGGCTGGGCCTGCGCCTGAGCTGGGGGGAGAGGCGGGGAACAGAGACATCAAGCATTTCCTCTCCACCACCACCTCTCCTTCTCGAGAGGAGCACGTTCAAGGGCAGAGGTTCCAAGCTGGGGTCACATCCCGCAGCAAAAGCCCGTGAGAACAGAGGAGCCCCTGCTGCAGAATGCGGGGCGGGGCTCGGCACTCCCCACTCCCTGTCGTCCCCGACCCCTCCCTCCCCTTCATCCTGTTCCCAATCTGTCATCTGGTCCTGTCAGTTATTCCATTTGCAGTGTCTCCTATCCGCTTCCCTACCTGCAGCCCCCACCCCGGACCGTAGCCTCTCCCTGCCCACAGCGCGGCTCCCCTGGGACGGCTGCCTGATGAACCTTCCCCAAACGCTTCTGTCCCATCACTTCCGGCTCAAGAACCTATCCGGGCTCCCAAAACCCTGGGCTCAAACTCAAAGCCCCATCCAGCTGGGCGAAGCCCCACGGCCCTGACTCACATGTCCCAGCTCTCCCCTCAGCCACATCCTCTTGCCGGCTCCTTCCACCAGGGACTGTCCCCAGCGTTGTAGGGACGTAAAGCCCCAAGGGCACAGACACACGGAGGGCTTACTTTCAGCCCCGTCCTGCAGTGAAGGAGTAGACTGTTGGGACAGGTGGCACTCAGGTACTCAGGGCCCCACGGCCCCAGGGCGCACCACCCTCCAGTCAGGCCTCAAGCCTTTGGCACTCATTTCCGGGCCCCAGCAGAGGGCCCTCAGGCGGCGTTCCCCACCCGGCCTCGCCAGAACCCGTCTGAGTGGCCCCATTCGCACCCCTCCTTCAGGAGGCCTTCCCAGACCTCGGGGAGCAGGCGCTGGTTTTCCTCTCTAGCATCTGCTCCCTCCTGGTTCCGTAACAGCCTGCTTCCTATGGGGGCGCCATCGCTCCCACAGGCTCAGTCCCGCACTTTGGGTGGGGCTAAACCCAGGGCCTGGGGGTAAGGCATGTGACCGAGGTCTGAGCCAGCTGCTGTGTCACCCTCCCCACCAGCCCGGCCCCAGCCACTGGCTCTGGGGTGGCCATGAGAACCAGGCCAGGCCAGTGGGAGGGCGGGACTTCCGAGGGAACTGCTGCAGAGGAAGACATTCTTTCCTGCTGGACCTGAGCCTGAGTATGAACCCTGGGCCCACTGGTTACCTTGCAAGAGCGAGGCCTGTCTGGGAATGGGGCCAACCCAGAAGTAGAGAGCAGGGATGGCATGAGAGCAAAACCAGGCCCTGATGACAGCATTTAGCCCTGCAGCTCCAAAGGCTGCTCTATGGACTGGTTACTTCTGCTTACTGGTCTGGGGAGTCTGACTGATAAATGTGCTGCCAGTTCTTATCTCTCTCTCCTCTAGGCCCCTAGGAGCTCACACAGTTCATGCTACGCGGCTCAGAATCAGCTCAGATGGCTGTTTTCCCATCCTAGACGACGACGTCCCTGAGGACGGGAACCCCATGCCACACACCATTAGTATCCCTCTGACCTGAATGCTGGGCACGTGGTGGGGGGTCAATGTGGGGACCTGGAACCCAGCGGTGAGGGAAGCGTGGATGCAGGTACCAGGCTCCTGGGAGCATCCTACCAACCCTGGGCCATGCTGAGCCTATGTTCAACCAACTCGCCACTCCCTCCCCATGAGCTGGCCTTCCTGCCCTCTGCTCACCCCATCCAGGAGCAGAGGAACGTGAAAATGTCCACCGGTGCCAAACACCAGGAAGGGAAAGGAAAGTATGCTAAAAATCCAATGCTCCCCTTACAGAAAGGCAAGCATGCAGTCACAATCTTGGTGAGGAAACACAAATATTTCTGATGGATTGTTTCTAGCATCCGTTTCAATCACGAGGTATGGGGTGGCCATAATCTGGGACCAATGGCTCTTAAAGGCCTGTGTCCTCTGGCTTACGTGTTCCTTGGGCATATTTAGCACAAAAATTAGCACAGAAGGGGCACCTAACACTTTCTATAACTACTGATAGCAGGTTAACGGAGGGCCAGAATAGGCAGCAAATGAGCAGAGATGATGTCACCAGATAATAGGAAGGAACATTTCCTGAATGCTTACTATATGCCAGGCACTTCAATTCCTTGGCATGTTTCAATTCATTTCATCTTAACAACAATCCTCTGAGGAAGGTACCATTATTACTGCCAATTTACAGATGGGAAAACTGAGACTTAGCGAGGTTAAGTAACGTGCCCGAGGTTACAGAGCAAGCGAGTGCGGAGGCGAGACTGGAGCCCAGGAAGAGTCTCTGCTCCACAGTCAACCCCCTTAACTCCTTCGGGGCACCGCCCGCAGGTGCATTTACATCCGGGATAGGCGTGAGGCAGGCAGGTGCATTAGTGGAGAGCTCAGAGGCGAAAGAGTCGGGTGGATCTAATGTTTGGACTATGTCCAGCTACAGACAATGACTCCAATGTCTGCCCCCACTGGGGAAGGCTTCTGGGAAGAGGTGGAATTCCAGTTGGTGGGGGAGGAGACTGCATGCTGCAGCGTCAGGGTTCCTGGTCTGGGGTACAAGCAGGGGACAGTGTGGGAGACCTGACCAGCAGAGGGACCTGAGTCAGGCAGTCAAATACTCCAGCCTTCAGGGGGCACGGTGTGGGCACCCAGGAAGGAGAAGCTCTATGCCCCTCTCAGCTTGCTCATGGCCAGAGAAAGATAGGACCCGTATACAGGACAGAGGGTTGAATGAGTGAATACACTCAGGTCAGTGGTGGCACACAGTTAATGTGATGCAAATATTAGTTGTTACAAAAATATTAAAAATAGGTTTTACCAAAATTTTAATTAACTAACATGCAATTAATCAATTAGAGTCTGTCTCTGCTGCTGGAGTATATCCTCTGGCTGGGCAGAGATGCTGCCTTAGTCGTTGCTGTAACTAAAGAGAGTAGCAGAGAGCCCTGCACACAAGAAGTGTTGGACGAATATTCGCTGACTTCAGGAATAAGTGAAGGAACAGGGCCCCCCAGTGGGGTAATAGCATGAGCTGGGAGAGCTGTACCACCACTGGGTGGATGCACAAGGAACCCAGGGGACAGGAACCCAGGGGACAGGAGGTAGTGAGCTCTTATGATAAAATTCGAAGCTGGGCACCCAGCTTGGCCCCTTGGGCACAAGAAAGCCAGCTGGGTCCCCCTCAGGACCAAGAATCACCAAAAGGGGTGCTCTGAGAGGGTGCATTCTGGGATTGGAGAGATGACTGCCCAGGGCGGGGAGCAGCCCCCAATCAGGTGAGGGTGGCAGCAGCACCCACCTGCTGAAGATGTCTCCGGAGACTTTCTGTAGGTGCTGCAGGGCATCCGCCACCTGCTGGATGGCCTCCTCTCGCCGCAGGTCTGGCTGTATGAGGGGCACCGCGTAGGTCTGATCAGCCAACGGACGCTGGGTCCCCGTGGGGGTCATGGTGCCTGGGGGTGGGAACTGAGCATCAGGACTACCTGCACACCCACCTGCCACGGGGTGAGGTGATGGGCACACAGCGCCCCGCCCAGCAGTCTGCATGGGGTGGGGCGGGGGGACACAGCACTGGGTGGGAGGCTGGGAGCTCACAGGAGCTGGTGTTCTGCTGAAGCTTGTTGGGTTAACGAGGGAGGGAAGTTGCTAAGGACCAGAGACTGACATGAAGCATTCAGAGGAGGTGCAACGCTGACTGGCTGCCGGGAGGCACTTGGAACCCAGCTAGGCACCCCTTCCCTACCTCATCTCACTTCAACCTCCAAAGCCTGGATGAACAAGAAAGAATCCCTGGCTGCAGAGTGAAAAAGAGGGAAGGGTTTGGGGGGAAAGTTGCCTGTGTCAACTGCGAAACGGTAAGCGGATCTGGGAAAGCACAGACAATGTGGACTCGAGCGTCCTTCTCACTCTGGCCCCTGAGGACCTGCTCCCAAGACAGGACAGGCAGTGCCTGGAGACTCCAGGGCTAAGGATGTCCGGGCTCTCCTCTCCCAGGCCAGAGCTAAAGGGGGCCAGGAGGAAGGAGGGGCACATGGGGGCAGGGGACAGGAAGGAAAAACACTCCTTCGAACTGCAAGAGGGGGGCAGTCAGTCTATTTATACTGGGTTTAATTAACTCCGCTCCCTGGTGCCACCAAAGCAGCAATCACACTGCAGACGGCACTGATTTGATTGGCAAGAGAGGTATCGGGCAGAATATTAAGGCACCAAGCCCCTATAAATAGGCCTAATCGCAGCCCCTCAGTAGGAGAGTGAGGAAGACATTAAGCAGGCCTGGCACTGTGCCCCAGACCTGCTCTTCTAGGCACTATGCTGGGGTCCCTGCTTGCAACAGAGGTGTGGGTGGGGCTGGGTAAGTGTGGCATGGAGGGTTTAGGAGGCTTCATTTGAGTTTCAAGTGCTGTGTGACCTGGGGTAAGTTGTTTGCCTTCTCTGAATCTCTGATTCTTTCCATTTCTCATCCTACAGACTGAGAATGGCACTGCCCTCTGAGAAGTGGTTATTCTCCATGTTTCACGCCAATCTCCTCAGCAAGCTGGAGCTTATCCTCTGCTCCCTCTGTTGGCCTCCCCTGCCCTTCCTTCCACCCAACTTGTTCTTGCCTACTCTTCCTAGGCCAGCACTTCTCCTGATCCGAGATGCCCATTCTGCTCTCCAAGTTTTTCTCCAGCAGTGAGCTCCTCAGCTTCCTAGACCTGAACCTGCCGAGAATCCTCATCAGGGCCCAGGAGTACCTCACCTCCCCACTTCTCTTCCCGCCTATCAAATGACCAAAGTGGAGCCAGCTGATCCCAAACCACCTGAGGAACCTAACCCTCTGGGAACTCCCATGCCTTTCAAAAATCCCCTCCCGCATCCCTCTCTGCATTTACACTGATGCAAATCTGCCTGGAGTCCTAACTTAGCTCTGTACCTCAGTTTTCCCATCTGTAAGACAGAGAGGGACTAAAAGGCAGAAAGAGGGTACTTTCTGGGCTCTTCTTGTGATGCATTCCTCATGGTCAGTCACCACACCCCGTGTGTGTCCATGCACGACGGGGTAGAACAGGCACAAAGCTCCTAAGCAAGGAAGGAGCACGTCTGTTCAAGAATTAAGAAACACTACAGCTTAGTTTAGCACTTTACTCATTGTGTCCGCTGACAAGTGCTCACTGACTATCAGGTGCTGGCCATGATCACAACGAAGATGAGGAGGCCGCTATACTAGCTGTGAAGACGGCCTGGAAAACAATTAAACAGCAGGTGATAAGTGCTCTAATCCAGCCATGAATCCAGTGCTAGGGGACACTGAGGAAGGAGTGAGTGATAAACCCCTTCTGGGGTCAGGGGAGTCAGGAGTAGCTCTTAGCAGAAACTGTACCTCCCTGCCAGACCCAGGGAGACAGGGCAGGGCGAGCACCCCAGGCAGAAGGGACAGTTGAACAAAGGTGTGTAGGGGAAGGGCAAGTGGTTTGGGCAATGAGGATGAAACCATCCTTGGCTAAGTAGCAAAAAAAAAAAAAGAGGCCAGACTGTGAAAATCACTGAATACCATGGCAAGGAGTGTGGACTTGAGCGTGCAGGCCAGGAATGAAAACCTCAGACCTGTGGTCCAATATAGGAGCCACTAGCTACATGGGCTATTGAGCACTTGAAATGTAGTCTAGGTATAAAATATACACCAAATTTCAAACTTCCTAGTAAAAACAGAATGTAAAATATCTCATTAAAATTTTAAACATTGATTACATGTTGAAATGACCATATTTTAAATACAGTGGGCTAAATAAAACACATCACTAAGTTAATTTCGCCTTTTCCTTTTACTTTTTTTTTTTTTTTTTTTTTTTTTTTTTGGTTGTGGTCTCTCCTGTTGCGGAGCACAGGCTCTGGACGCGCAGGCTCAGCAGCGATGGCTCAGGGGCCCAGCCGCTCCGCGGCATGTGGGATCTTCCCGGACCGGGGCACGAACCCGTATCCCCTGCACTGGCAGGCGGACTCCCAACCACTGCGCCACCAGGGAAGCCCTCCTTTTACTTTTAAAGTCACATATGTGCCTCGCATAATATTTCTATGGGACGGCTCTACCTTAGAGAATCTGGTAAAAACTGTGGATTCCCCGAGAAAAGTGAACATAGAGCAAACCCGCTCTAACAATGCTGTTGATAAATTTCGAAGTGCTCGGGATCCCTCCCGCGACCCACGCCCGACACCCAGCTCGGAGGCAGGCAACTGGGACCCAAGCAGGGTTAAAGCGGTGTGGGGTCATCCAGGGGCCGGGAGGGGTGGCCACAAACGGAGGGTCTGAGCATCCACTGCGGCTCGTTCCGAGAGCCGGGCCCTCCCCGCGAACCGACAGGGGCGGGGGCCGCCGACCC